TTAAAGTTAAACAATGAGATAAATTTTCTTATTTTGCATGTGAAGAAGTATGTAGTTATAATGTGTAGAAAGTAAAGATAGAGATAAAAGTAAAAATATTTCAAAAGTTAAACAAACATCAGAAAAATGAAGTAAGAAAATATTTTCAATAAACTAACCAAACACCTGAAAATGATGAAAGAGAAATGATTTTCATGGAAAATTACTTCCACGGAAAATATTTTCCCAAGGAAAACATTTTACTTCCAACCAAGCAGACTCTTAATTTTTGAGATGAATATTTCTGTCATCATTGATTTCAACAAAGAAAAATTTTAGCTTTTACTTCTTGATTTAAGATATTACGGTGAAATGTAGCAATTTCTGAAATAGATACTACAGTGACCGTATCCTTATTAATTAGCCTGCACTTAATATGTGAACGAATCAAATTCAATCGACTTATCAGCAAGCTTGCTTAGTCAAAATTCGAAGTGAAGTTTGCGTTATCCAAGTGCAAGTAACTTAAATAGATACGCGAGACTCAAAAGTTTATCGAATGTAATCAAACTGCTAATAGACATACCTTTATTTATGTTTACTAGTGTGAGGCATGGAATCCCCTGTTTTAAAAAAAATATGAATTATTAATACAAATTACCTAAACTTTGTTAATTGAGTTCGATTAGACCATACTTCATCGAACTTAATTAAGTTCGAACAAATTAAAAATTATATTAATCGAGCTGCATCACATCTCGAGTACACTATAGTATTGAGAACAAAAAATAATTATTTTGCCCTTGCATTCTCTTAAGAATTTGGATTACATGTTGCTTTCCCTTACAGTGGTCCAGACTGCATTTGACATAGAATTGAAACGTGCTGGTCCACTAATATCATTCCATCTATATCTTCTGTTAACGAGTAATAATGGATGCATAATGAATTGAAACTGCAAGAACCAGCGAAATCTTGCACTACATTTGACCTTGTGGAGCTAAGGATAGCCTCATTACTGCAGTGCCTAGCACTGTACCACTGCACCATTTTTAACCAAAATTGGTCCCAATAGTCGTCTCTATCTGCAATACACAGTTTTGGGTCACATCCATCCTGGCTATGTCTTCACTTGTTTGTGAAACAGTGAGCCTACCTAAGCCCTGATTCCTCCAATCAAATGGACTCTTGCAACTGGTATAATCCATCGCATCCATCCATCAGAATTAATTTCTTGAGGTATTTTCTTACGCTACCTAGTTAGCTTTTCTTCTTTAAAAAGTAGTGCTCTGGATGGCCAGCTGCAATTCTTGCTCAGTTTTACCCCTTTTGGCTCCTTCACCACGGATCCATCTGGTCCGCAAAACTGGTGGCAATTGGCATTACTGTGCACGCGTTTCGTTCCTGTCGTCAATGCATGATTTATATTTGTTTTGTTGTCTTTGCCATGAATTTGGATCGAGTGCAATTGTGTAAGGGTGAAGAACACTTTTTGACTTCTTGTAAAATCGTGAGAATTTTACTCATTGTTTAGTTGATCACAGAATAATATGTGCTGTGCAATATATGTATGTACATATATTTATACAAAAGTGTATGTGTATTTATTCTTGTAAGAGAATCCAATAATCATGAGATAAAACCTTTTGCAGTTGGATTAATTAAGACATCAACCCTCGATGTGGAGTTCCTTTCCTTCTGCGTAGTTGGAGTTTGCTTTTGAAGAAATCTTTTGTCTATGGTATGGCATTAAAACCAAACGAAGTAGGAACTTATCATATTCAAGGTTGCCTTGTGAATAGTTCAGGGTTCTCAAATGAGGTTACTGTTACTTTTTCTTAAAAAAAAAAGTTACTTACTTTCACGGTTTAAACATATGAAGTTGAGCTCAAAAGAAAAAAAAAACTTTTGATTTTGATAGAGCTTAAAAAAGTAGGAAAAAAAAAGTTGCAAAGGTCATTCAAGATGGGACCAAACAATAATATATCACAATGCCATCAATCTTCTCTTTTTATTTGCTGTTGTCTCTACATAGAGAACCAATTCGTTATAGTATCAAGGGATAATTTCAGAAACCTCCCCTGAGGTTTCTGACATTTACACTCACCTCCCCTGTGGTTTGAACAATTACACTGACCTCCCCTGAGGTTACTAATCCTTTACAAACTCAATCCAAATGATTAAAATATTGTTTTAGAGAGTGAAATTAGAATTTTGTACCTGATTTGCCATTTGTGCTACATGTCCAATGAATGACAAAGTATTACAAATTAATTAATAATTAATAAACTTTAAGGAGCGTAGTTTATAGGCAAATACGTATTACTTATTTAAAGTACCAGTTCTTTACGGATATTTTACTTTCAAACATTTTCTTTATTACAAATATTTATTCTCAAATACAGATTTGTATTTACTCTCAAATATTTAATTTTCGTTAAATAAAAAACCTACCAGTTTTTCTTCCGTAGAAATATTAATATAACACTTTTTCAATTTTAGTTATAAATATTTATGTATTTAGCATAAATTAAATGATTCAGGATAAAATATTCATAAAGAGCTAATACTTTACTCATGTAATGGGTGAAAATCATAAAAAATTAATACTTTATGAGCCATTTCTTTTTTTAAAAAATATTTAATTTATATCAAATAGATAACCTACTGATTTTCTTTTTACGAGAATATTACTGTAACACTTTTTAATTTGTAATTACAAACGTTAATATATTTATCATAAATTAAATATTTGAAAATAAAATATCTGTAAAGAACGGGTACTTTAAATAGGGTATGTGTATTTACCTTAAATTGATTGATTTGAAGATCATAATATGGAAACATGTACGTCGTTTTGTCCCCTCAATTGACACCATTTTTAACTTTTGCTTACAATGGCTAATGATACTAAAACTCACAAGTAATCTCTAGTTTAATTAGTCATTCAATTTGTTAACAAAAAATGAATTTTCTTTTCTAAAATTCGTTCATTAAGTTTTTGCAATTAGTTATGGTATAAAAGTAAAATCATACAATTTATTGTTAGTAATAGGTCCAATTTCCTCCTAGGGGAGGTCAGTGCAATTTTAGAAACTATAGGAGAGGTAAGTGTTAGTGTTAGAAACCTCAAGGGAGGTTTCTGCAATTATCCCTTGCTTTTTCTCTCCATTGACTTTGATATTTCAGTTGTGGTTTTCTCCGGTGGCTGCTGACCCCTCTGGCATAAAGGTAACGTGAAACAAAACAAAACCCCAAAATTTGTACTATTTTTGGAAGTCTGGCCTCTGCAGTATTATACTTTCAATCCGACATGCAGAGTTGAAGACGATCGAGAAATATCTCAGAAAAGCAATGCCAGTGGAATTAATGGGAGTAAAACGCTTTAACTTCTCAGACTTCAGAGGGGAAAACGTTTTTGTCCTCAAATTGGTTCCAAAGACATCTGATTCATGCCATGTTCCAATACAGTTCAACACCAGATCCACCAACCAAAGGTCCATCCAGCAGTTACTATACTTACTGCTGTTGGATTTAAGTTTGAAAGAGAAGTTACTACAAGCAGCCTTTTTTTTTTTTTGTTCAAAGAAGACCAAAAGGTGTACTCTAGTCTCCATCAATTACATAAAAAGCCAATTACCGGTGGACTTGTCTTTAATTCGAATAGTGGTAACAGTTATTGTCCAGTATGTTTTATAGTAGAGCGATTTTTGTTTTAGGGTATTGATTTTCATGCACATTTTCTCTTATTTAATCTCCTATCTCATCTTCAATGTTTAATTTCTTTTGGTTCTAGCTCAGCTGAACAGTGTCCGAAAACATAAAGATAAAATATCAACTTTACGATGACCAGAATGCAATAATAAGTTACATTGGTTTCAATAGCAAAATAGCAGCATTTTATTTGAAATTTTTGTTTGAATGCGTCTAGAAATGATTTCCAATTATCTTTTTTTTTTTGTAATAAAAAAGTTTGGATTAAATTGCTTTTAGTCACCACATGCCTCCAGAGTCGTCGATCGATTCACCTTTATCTTTTCAATTATATATTTACATAACATATATCATATCCAAAAAATACTTTAATAATTTAATCTAAAATGTTTTTCCAAATACGATACTTACCTGATTTCAGAAAGAACTCGTTAAATTCATCATAAAGGACTAAGGAATTAATCCACATCCAGACGATACCAAAACGGTAAGAAAAACATCACTACCCACAATGACATGGACCTCACATTTTTATTCCTTTTCTAGGGTAATTTGAGAAACCTCCCCTAAAGTTTTTGATAATTTCACTGAGCTCCCCTAAAGTTTAAAAAATTACACTTACCTCTCTTAATTTGATAGTTTTAGTAACAAAATCTTAAAATAATATTAGCCTGGTCAATTTTTTAAATGAATACCCAAAAATGCCATTGTATAATGAGTTTTTAATTTATTTTTCTACACAATTTTAAGATCATCTAGTTTTTTGACGATTATCATAATTTGGTAGTGATTTTGGGTCTTTTTTTATTTATTGTTAATTTTAGTACCATAAAATAGAAAACAAAAATCAGCAAAAATATTGGATTACATATAAAATTAACTCGTCAAAAAAATCACTAGTTTAACATTTGGTTACAATAAAAACTAGAAGCAATAGTGGTAATTCTACAATTTTATTTGTGAAATTTTTTTTTAAAAAAAAGGAATAAGAAGGAAAAAGAATGAAAAAATAATTTTAAAACTCATTCTAAATATAAGCATATCAAATAAGGGAATTTTATTAAAATATTTAAGGGTAAAATTATCATTTTAAATAATAAGGAAGGTATGTATAATTTTTTAAACTTCAAGAGAGTTCAGTGAAATTGTCAGGAACCTTAGGGAGGTTTCTGAAATTAACCCCTTTTTCTATCCGTCTGATAGCCTAATATAACCAAGTAGTAGTAGTAGATAGTATGCCCCTTAATCGATAATCCGAATGGAGAGTTTTCTCTGTTTCTATACATTAGTGCACCGTTCGAGGCCTTGTTACTTTCTTTGTCCCTTTCTGCGTTTCTTCTTTTTGGTCGTGTGATGAGAGGTCAATCATAAATGGGGGTAGCCCGGGTTAGTTAAGTACTCGTATTCAAGAACAGAAAAAAGGAGGGGATAAGGGAAAAACGAGAAAGATCAGAAACTGTAAGTGAGAAAAATGGAGGTTCGAGGAAGAAGAAGCAGAGACATGAGTCCTGAAAGGGTGAAGATATGCACACAGTCCAGGTTGATAAGACCTGCTTTCAAAAAAGTTCAAGTTGTTTATTACCTCACCAGAAATGGCCAGCTTGAGCATCCTCATTATTTGGAAGTTACTCATCTTGCTAATCAACAACTTCGCCTGAAAGGTACTAATCCACAATCTGTTCTTGATCGGCGATATATACAGCTGCAAATTCGTGTTGAGGAAAGCAAAATCTTGATTCTTGAGGTTTCATAGGGAAGCCCTTTTGGTATTTGGAACTTCTTTTTACTAACTTGTTAAATAATGTGTAGATGTCATTGATCGGCTCACAGTTCTTAGAGGCAAAGCCATGCCCTCGTTGTATTCTTGGTCTTGCAAAAGGTACTTAATTCCTCTTTCCCGAATTTTCAGTAGGCCTAAGATTCATAATCTTGAATAGTGATTTTAACTATTTATGATCTAATTGGGCACTTTTGCACATTAACCATTTACAAGTTCTGAATACAGTATGCACTTAAAAAAGATTCCAGTGCTTTATGTAGTATTTATTTGTACCTTGTGCTCTTAACTTTGCAACCCAAAAAAAGAAATTAATATGTGGGAATTATTTCTCATAGGAGCTACAAAAATGGTTATGTGTGGAATGACTTGGCGGAGAATGATATCATCTATCCATCAGAAGGAGCAGAATATGTACTCAAAGGGTCCGAAATAGTCAGTGATGGTTGCACAGGTGAGTTAATTACCTGACTTTTAACTTTTTTTGCTTAACCACACTTAACATTTTTTTTCTTTTTATTAATCTTTTCTATATATGTTTGTCCCCTTTTTAATTTTTTTTTATTTTTTATCATGAATGGATTAGTTTACACTATATAATCAGTTTAATTTTGTGTATGTTTCCAATGAACCTGGTTACTCTCTTCATCAGAAAAATTTCAACAACTTCGAGTTGGCAGTAGCACACAACAGAATCAGCAACTTCCTCTTGGGAACGTGCAACAAAGGCCGGGAGTTGTAGAAATCACGAACTGCCATCCAAAACGCAGATCACTAGGCCATGTTCATCATCACAACAATGAATACGAGGATAATGATCAAAATGAAGCTGGTCAAGTAGAAGAAGAAGAGTTGGATCATGAAGAAGAATATGAAGAAAAGATTAGCTGCTATACCACCTCAACTACACCTCAGTATTCTCGATGCTCCCGCGGCGTCTCCACCGACGAAATTCACCACCGACATCAACGACCACAAAAACAAGAACAAAAGAAGCAAAAGCAAGAATCTCAAGAAACTATGAAAAACCCTAGGTCTGAATTCATTTTAGAAAATGAATCTCCACCGTCGACGACGTCGTCGAGTCTTTCGGACAAAGCCATGAACGAGACCAGCAACACGTCCAAGAGGTTCGAGGACGGCGATCCGGTTGGAAATGAGCCGTTACTGAGCCGGAACTCCATGCTTTTTCAGCTCATTGCATGCGGGGGGTCGCTCTCTTTTAGGGGCACTACTAATGGCAAAAATGTGCCTGATTTGAAGCAGCAGCAACAACCACCACCGGCGACAACTACTACGGCGGCGACCCCTGCTGGGGCTAGGAGGAGTAACTGTAGTGATCTGCATAAAGGGGTGTTGTGCAAAAGTGCTGCGGCGGGGTATAAGGCGGCGGCGGCTATGGAGGAGGAGGATGAGATAAAGTACATGTCTGAGAATCCGAGGTTTGGGAATTTGCAGGCTGAGGAGAAAGAGTATTTCAGTGGGAGCATTGTTGAATCAATGGCTACCGATGACAGGGCTCAGGTTGAACCCTCAAGCTTGAAGAAATCATCTTCCTATAATGAGGAAAGGTTAGTCTATGGACTATAGTCCTAAAGCTTGTTTTTTGGTTCTTTGGCCTCATAATTAGTCAAATTTTTTCAAAGCCATAAACATAAAATAATAATAACAATATGATAATGGACTGAATTTATTTTCCAAAGTTAAACGAAACTAATCATGTCTTAATTAGAACCTTCTTTTTTCTTTCTCCGTTTTTAAGGGAGGGAAGAAAATTTTTTTTTTTTGATAACTAGGTAGGGAAGAAAGTTAAAGTTAGAACCTTATAAAATTTTATTAGTCTAGATGTAAATTAGAGAACCTTCTTTTTGGTTTAGGTAGGGAAGAAAATTAAAATGAGAACCTTGTAAGTGTTAAAATTTTAGTACTCTAGATGAAATTAATTACAGTATTTTAGTTTGGAGCCTTCTCTTCTTGTGTAATTTTCTTGAATTAATTGACAGATTTCCACTTCAGACTACTATCTAATGAATGATCAATTTTTTTTTTTTGTAATTTTTTTCCTAATTTTAGATGATCTATTTTTGTTTAAATATGAAGAAATTAACTTTTACTAAAAGACAATGATGTCATCCGGTTGACTAATGTTTGTCAACTCGAGGACTGATTAGCTTACAGAGCACAACAGACCTCTGTAACCAAGGTGGTCGTTTTCGTCAGTGAGTACCCATAGTCATAGTCAATAACTTATGATGAACCAGCCTCCTTGTTCCCTCCCCTGTATTAGGATAGAGCAGGTTGTACAAGTATATCGTTGCTGACCAAAAAAAAAAAAAAAAACTTATGATGAACCAGCTTGTTACCCTCTTGGTAATAACTTGCTCGATTGGAAAAAAACATTCAAGAAATTCAACTCACTCGTACTTGCAATCTGATGAAGTTTTAAGTAGCATATTATTATTATTAAATTCACTTGTACTGTAATTGTTGTGCAGGAGCTCGAAATTAGCTATAGAGGATGCAGAAGCAACCGAGGAAGAGAGAGGAGAGAAAGCTTTGAAAGGGAAATGCATCCCAAGAAAAAGGTCTTCTTCTAAACAGGCCAAGAAATGACCATTCAGCAGAAGAGTAGTTGTGGGAAATCAATAATAATGATGATCTTAGCTGCTGATGATAAGAGGGGGGATGGTAAAAAGTTGAAAAAAGTGAGAAATCAATTAGGATGTTGTCAAGATAATTGGTCATTCTGTCTAGTGCTTTAGCTACTGAAATCATATGGGCTCCTTTGTCTTTGTTGAGTGATTTAACAAGTAAATTGAAACCTTTCATGATTAATGGTACAAAGTCAAGGGTCAAGAGGGGAAGTTTAACCTCTCTTGCCGACTTTACCTGTTTGAACTTTGAAGCTACCATGCCCAGACATCACTTTGGATGGAAAAACTTTTTTTTTTTCAGAGTTTTTGCAGAACAGCACTCTTTTTTCTTTTTCTTTTTTTTTTTGAGATGTAGTATCATATAATATGAGATAAAAAATATGTTGAAGTTAAAAAATGTGTTGAAGAAATATTCTTTAAAAACTCCACAAAAAATTTGCACAAAAATTGCAATCCAAATAGTCTCGTTGTTGATAATCAAACGTAGTTCGGTGATTAAAAGTTTATCAATTCTCAGTCTTTCAATGAAGAAAAAAATTGTGAGTGTTTGGACTAGAGTAGAGTTATTATTTGATATAATTATTATAGTACTTTTTATGATGTGATATATGTGAAATAAAAAAAATTGTTACAAATATAAAAGGGTTAAAATTTGTGTTAATGATACAAGTAAAATAATATTTAAGATAATTTTTGTATCCAAACACATGCTGTTATCTGCCCTCTTTCCCTCTTTGATAAAAAAATATATATTCCATCCATTACTTAAATAGCTGAGGGAGGCTCTTTTCAAACATATATTTTAATTTATCTATTTTGTATCACATGCGCATTTGTTTCACAAGTTCAATTAAAATTGCTCCAAACACCTCCGAGAACAACCAAAAGCCACAGGTACAAGAGATTTTTTTTTTCCTTTTTTGAGGAAAGGTCCAAGAGAAATAAAGCGACTCCTGATCGACAGATTATTACAATTAGCAAGTTTCCTTATTATTTATTTGGTCCATGGATATGTGATCCACATTTGCCAAATTTGCCACATAGATAGATACCTTCATCAGCGGCACGGCTTGTGGAATGAATTTGGCAGCCAACTCCCAATATGGAAACTTAGGGATAATTTTAGAAACCTCCCAATAAGGTTTCTAAAATTACCCCAGGAAATTTATGCACAGGTTAAAGAACTGACATAGGTACACGAGTGCCAATACGAGCATAGGACTCGTATTTTTTTTTGAAACAGTTGATATGAAAATGTGATGTTTTCTCTTATTTTTTTTCTTTTTGTTCAATGCAGGGTGTCCCGACTTTGCCAAACTAATCCCTTGCGACTATACAAAACCCCACCGAAGAATGCAAAACAATTTTAACACAATAGGTTGGAACCGGCAACCTAAGGGATACTACTATTGCATGTGATTACCAGCTGAACTTCTTGTTTTTTGGGGGGGGATACGAATTGTGATATGCTACTCCAATTTTCATAATATTTTACTTTTTGCCACTTGAACTTGTAAAAGTGAATTGAATTTCTTGCAATAGTATGCTTCAATTTTTTTTCGAACAGAGGAGGAGTTGAACTTAAGAAACAGGGAGAGGATAGAAAAATTTGAATTCGGAACCTCTAACTTCTTGTACTTGTCATTTACATAATTTACTTTAGAATGTAATGTCTAATTGTTTGATTGGGCGCATGTTTCTAATTCCTGTTAAGGCTGAAGTACGGACCAAATTACTTGTTTTTCAATGTCACCTTGATTGATAAAGTATTTCTCATGAATTGATTAGTCTATTAATTGAACTAAGTTTAAGCAAAATTTACCACTTGATAGATTAAGTTAAAGATTGAAGTTTACATATGAAACATTTAAGTTACTTGGTCTCTAACTTAGAAAAATAAAACATTTATAATGAGGTAGAATTATACAATCTTAAGTTCGTTTCAAAATATAAATAATTAAAAAATCATTAATCTTATATACAATAAGAATGTACACACTAACGAGTATATATGCATGTCATGTATGCAAGAATTTTAAATAAAATTAAGTGACATGTATTGACACCTACTAGTACATACTATATTATAAGTATCTATAAGATTATATCCAAAAAAAAAAAAAAGAACGTTTTATGGATGCAAGCAAATTGTTCATTGTCAATTTGGGCCAGCCACATTTGCGTGTAAATCCATGGGCTGAGCAGATTGGGAATTGACGTATGAACTTGATGATACTCAACCACCTCTTGGACCAGCTTGTCAAACCCAGTTTTATCAATCCAGCAAATCCCAGGTCTGAAAAGTGTTTAGGCCCCTCGAATTCGTCCTCGGTGCGGTTAGATGAATTTGAATGTTGTTACAGCTTACGTTTATGGGAAAATTCTTGTCACTTGTCGAATCCAAATGTGGCAATATGACCACAATCAGCTCATCTTCCATATTGAATTTTTTTTCTCTATAAACTAATGACACACGTTGAATAAGAAAAATATTTACTCCTTCCGTTCCACTTTGATATAATTTTTTTTTTAAATTTCACACAGTTTAAGAAAAAATAGTTAACTTTATTGAAAGAGTAAATCTATCATAATTTTTTTAAAAAAAAATATCCTTGCATTAATTTGAAAAGTATGATTAATCATTATACCTTTACATTAATTACAATAACAATATTATTGGTAAGTTGCACCATTCAAGACATGAATTATAGCAAGTATTGAATAAAATAGTTTATACTTCCCGATAACAAAGTACATTAACTTAAAAATGGATATTTTAGATAAATTAAAAGTTAACTACATCGTTCAATTGAAGAGTGAACTACGTTAAAACCAAGAGAGATGCTGCAACAGTACATGTGCAATGCACATGCTCTGAATTCCATATTGATCTCAACTTCCCAAAATTGAAAACTGATGACATTAATCACAGATTATTAGTTTTGTTGTCTTTAAGACTCGCAACAATCACGCAACGCCTTTTTAATTCTGATGCAGTTTTCTTGATTATTCTTAAGTCAATGGTTCTACCTTTCCCGGTCCTAACTATGACATTGAGTTATTATCGACTTCACATGCCTTTGCTGAGTCTTCTTGATTAAGGTGATGTACTAAATGCATGCCCAGTTGGCTAATTTAATTTAAATTTTTTTTTGGATTGATCAGTTTGATTTCATGGACTGATTTGTATTTTTGTTGTGATTGGTGAATGAGGGAAATGACTAGCAAAATCAGTATGGATTATGGAACAAGATAGTGGGATGCAACCACCATCACGATTCGCAAAGGAGCATGCTAGGCGGAATGATGAGAAGAAAATCAAAGGAATCATGAGATGAGAGGGATTATTACTACTGTTACTAGTATTTCTTTTTCTCTCTTATTCCTTTCCTTTTAGTAGCTGTATTCCTTGTTTGGATTGCGATTTTTTGCAAAAAAAAATTTACGCGCTTTTCGTAAACACATTTGTCAATCACCTTTTTATCTTATATGCATCAAATTACTAGGATGCATTTTTCTACAAAAATTTCTAAAAATAGCAATTCAAACGGGTATATATAAATGCTGTTAAGTCATGATTAGCATTATCAAAACATTGATAAAGTCATACATGGCAAAGGGCAAATACCATGAAATTTTGCTAAAAAGAAACCTTATCATTTAAAACTGGCTTTACTTTTTGAATCCTTACTCTCTTTTTCTTTGGCATCATTTTCTTTTGAGATGATGCAGTAGGCCATGCAACATGTTTATTCATATTGATCCTTACTTAGCTTAAAAATAAAGTAACATTTGTAATCTTCATCTCCTACATGTGGTTTTTGATATTAGGATTATGGTTTTTACTTTTGCAACTTCTTTGAATTTTGTTTTATATTAGAAATTCGTATTATACAGAAGCACAAATTATTTTCTGAGAAATTATTAAAAAAAAGGAGACTTTGTTGACAGATATGGTAGCATTGGCAAGCTAAATATTTAACTTATGCAGTAATGAGTAACCTCATAGCAATATATTTGTAAAAAAAATAAAAATTCTTTTCCTCTACATGAAAATTTTTTTCTAACGGGTGCCGCTTGTTAGATCACTTAAATTATATCTAATTTTGTGTATAATTACAATTATTGCATCTCTGTATTTAAATTAACATTTGAAACCCTACTTAATTAGGGCACATAGTATTGTTGATGTCAACTAATCAAGTATACTTAATATATGTGAAATTAAACGTAGTAGCTGGTGACTAATATGTTATTACAACTAATTTACAAATGCTAGCTGGTAATTTTATTTTGATTTTGCTTCGAGTGTTTTGACTGATTTTGAGATGGCATAAATGCGCCCAGATCTCCGCGTAAAAGGTGAGGCGCAGGTGGAACCCACCGACCGAAATTAATCAGAACGAGTGGCGCTAAACGCGCTTTTATTTTCTTTTTGCTCCTTCTCTCTTTCTTTCTCCCTCCCTTTCTTACATTGATTTTATTTTAGCCCCCTACAGTAGTAAGAAATTTGAATTGCTCCTGAAAGTGAAAATTTGTAATGTGGCCAGTGTAAACAAGAAAAACTATTCACATGTGGCCCTTGGGATGTTTAAATCAACTAATGTTATATTTGTCCTCAACACCTAACTTAGCTAATAGGGTATTAGCCAACTAACAATAAGTTCTTGATTTTAGTACTACTGTCGCGGCTTATGCATAAATAATACTTTACCTATAGATATCCAAATGCGTCTCAATGGATTTAGATGACCTTTTTTTTCTATCTCTTTATAAGGTCTGGAGTGTTCCTTGAACTCAGAAGGAAAAAAAAATTTCAACTATATTGGCACACTTTATATTTCTCCATTAAAGCATGCATTTAATTTTTTCCTTCTTGGGGTCAAAATGAAGTATAAGTTTAATGGTGAAAGGTTTTGGTGAAGTTATTAGGTTAAATGTTACGGTGAGAGAGAAGCGAAAACGTGAAATTACAAATTTAAGTGAAAGAAAGGCATTCACAAAATTATTTAAAAAAATGTCACAATCTGTTTAGATATAATCCGTTGCTCCTCTTTAATCAACAGGAAAGGACTTTAGAGCTATTAAACACATTTCTTAAGCATTTCTTTACACTTACACATAGAAAATGAAAAGTTTTTAATTTACTATACTTTAGATAGCAATTTTTTCACCAAAAACTATGCGAGAGATTAAGGTGAGAATCATTATTTATTCATTTTTGATATTTCAATTTTAATTCATCTTGAAGCTTACAAGTTACAAGTAGTTATACAATTATTTTTTTTTTGAAGCAATAGCTATACAATTATTGACTCAAGCATTAGAAAGTAAACACAAAAAATTGAAACTTTAAGGGACTGACAGAGTGAAATCTTTTCAACTTTAAGGGCTCAATTAAAACTTTTGATTCATTTAAAGGGCTAAAATGAAATTACCCCTTTATTTTTCCTTATTATTCACTCTCGTAGGGTGTGTCCCACATCGCCATGTGACTCCACTGCTGTGTGCCAGCCCACAAATACGCCTCAATCAATTCCCACACGCAGTCACACGCAAACTTCTCACTGCCCCTCCACCGACGACTCCATCCATTTCCCCCATTATATCATCAGCTTCCTCCACTCCTCCATTCATTCCCCAACTCAACTCAACCAAGAAAGAAGAACAAATAGCAGAAGCTTGAGAGTCACTAGTGCTCCCTAAAGAAAAAGGAAGATGGCAAATTTGCTTGTGTTGGTTGCTTTCTGTATCCTTCCGGTCATTGCTAGTGCTGCTATTCCTGAACCGTTTACTGTAACTGGAAAGGTCTACTGTGACACTTGCCGTGTTGGTTATGAGACTCCCGCCACGACATATCTCCCTGGTAAGCCTAGCCCTTCACATTTTCACTCATTTTCTCTTTTCTTGTATGGTTTCTCTGTGCTAGCAATTGTGGGTTTAGCTTTAATTGTTAGATCTTGTGGACAGAATCTTCAGATCTCGTGTGTAATGTCTGGATGCTTTGATGTCAGTAAGGATCTAAATGTTCGAGCAGTTCTGAACTAATCCGTTGGATTCTGTGGGGGGTTTTTTTTTTGGGTTCGTTTGGCCTGAAATGGAGTCCTGATTCTGCTTAAGTAGTATGATTCTGTAGATTTTTTTTTTCACTTTTTTAATGGTATTGTTAGGAGAAGTGACTTGTCTGCCTTAGTTTTTGCCTTAGTTTTTGACATGTCCAAAACAGACAAATGGTAGTACTTTGACAGGAGTTGTGGACTTGTCCAGTGCAGTGCTTGCTTGTTTTGATTTTCAAAATATAGCTTCTATACGTCCATAGTCTATTCTTGGTTTTGTTGACAAAGTGAAAATGCATTTGGAGCCCTCAGGTCATTTGATTTATCCTGATAGTTTTGTTTATTCAAATTGGATTTTGTAGCTTGCCAATGATAAATTTGCTGATGTCTTTGGAGGGTCATCATTTTTGGTTTTGGATCTGTGATATAGGAATTGGAATTCTTGTTTGTACCACTACCAGAAGATTTATAAGTATTTAGGTTCCCTGAGAGTCATAGCATATGAGGTAGCTAGGTATACTAAAACACAAGTAAGCGAACTCGTCAAACAAAACGGTTATGTCTATGCCTGATTAGGCCTTCCACCTGAGAATAGCTACCAAATGTAAGAAATTTGTGTTAAAAGACATTTGAAGTATCCCATTATCTTCTTGGCAGGTTGCATTGTGAAACTTGTGTGCAAAAAGAGGGATAATCCAGACCAAATCACATTCACCAAAGAGGCTACGACCGACTCTACTGGAAAATATGAAATGCAGGTGGCATATGACGCTGGGGATGATATTTGTGAAATGGAACATGTCAAGAGCTCAGACCCTACATGCGCAACTCCTAATGCTGGCCGTGACCACGCCCGCATTTGCCTCACCCGCAACAATGGCATGGTCTCCAATGTCCGTCATGCCAATAACATTGGCTACTTCCGCGATGTGCCGTTGGCTAGATGCCCACAAATCCTCCAGCGATATCAGGATGCGGAGTCAGATTAAGGCCAATGTCATATTGCTCTTTTGATTAGCCTTTATTTTTGCTACAATCTTAGTAGGACTGATACGTTGTTGTGATAATTTGGTGCTATTGGCATCTATAGAATTTGTTTTCCATTGTTCTTGGATGATGGTGTTGTGTCGTTTAACTCTATTATGATTAATTTAATGCTTCATTACATGGTCATTCTGTTGTGGCTTTCCAGTATTGGATTGTTTCTTTATTATTTTCTCTTTGTTCCCTCTTGCTGATTGCTGATTGAGTTTTAGCATAAGCTTTTTCATACTTTTGAAGGTTGGAATAAAAGATCAAATTCTGCTGAATCATTTCAAACCTTTGAGTTGGTCATAGTTCTGGCTAGACCATTTTATCATGTCCAAATTCAGAAAGTTTTTTCTTTTCTTTTCTGCTAGACCCTCTTCCCTCAATGTTCATCTCTATTTTCCCGTGGTGCATTGGGATTCTGTGGTTTTGTACATTTTCTGGGCATTATTTGACCAAAATTTCTCAGCCTAGGATTAGGCTCGATGTTTCATCAATTAATTCAGTGCACAGATAACACTGTGATGTTCTTAAATTAAAAAGGATAAGATGGTCAGCAACTGGTTTCGTTAAGTTCTGCCAACAAGTGTGTAAACAATCACAATATGAGCAAAAAACTGAAGTAAACAAGTTATACTTGCCTTACATACATGTCTTCACAAATTTGTGGAAACAATAATAGCTACCGCAGGGAACTGATAAAGGAGGACAACACAGTAGGAATTTCATCAAGCCAATTCACCAAACCATTGAGAAAAAGGATTCTGACCGGGATGTTGTCGATTAAATTTTGATCTGGACTTTACTAGCTGTTAAGACACTGGACATGGGGGAATACTCACATCAGTTATCCCTTCCAACATTGAGATAATATTCTTCATTGATGGGCGAAGAGCTGGTTCATCTTGAATACACCATAGTGCCACCATTACCATCCTCTCGAATGCATTCTTATCCGTAGAATCATCATCCATAAGTTTGTCCAGCTCCCTGGCTGCAAAGCAGTTATAAGCCCAGGATGGTAGGTGAGTTTCTTCTGGTCGTGATAAATTGACTTGAATGTGTCTTCTGCGGCATATAATTTCAAGCAAAACAATCCCATAACTATAGATATCAACCTTCAGAGTGATGGCAGTTTTTGTCTTCCATTCTGGTGCCATGTATCCCAATGTTCCCCTTTCTCCTGTGAAGGTTCTTGTTTGATCCGGTTGGAGCAATTTAGCCAAGCCGAAGTCACTGATTTTAGCTGTCCAGGATTCATCAAGCAAAATGTTCTGAGGCTTTATGTCACAATGTATTATAGGAGCTTCACATCCCTGGTGGAGATAGCAGATCCCTCTTGCAACGTCAAGTGCTATCCTGACTCTCTCATTCCAGTCTAGGCGCCCTTTTGTCCGGAAGAGAAGATCTGCGAGGGAACCATGGCTCATGTATTCGTATACCAAAATCCGCTTTGAGCCCTCGGCGCAGAAGCCAAGCAAACGAACCAAATTTTTGTGACGAGTTCTGCCAATCACCCTCACTTCTGCTTTGAACTCCCTCTCGCCCTCCTCGACTACCTTCTCCAATCTTTTTACTGCCACAAAGCTTCTATTGTCAAAAGTTCCTTTATAGACTGCCCCAAAAGAGCCCTTGCCTAACTCTCTCTCTTTCTTAAAGCCGTTAGTTGCCCTCTTCAGCTCATTATAAGTGAATGCTCGAATGGTGAATTCCTTAGTCAAGCCAGTTCTTCCTGTGTCCAAAAGCTTCCTGTACTTCATAAGGCGGAATTTGAATATGAAAATGCCAGATAGGGCAAGAGCAGCACTTGAATAGGCAAAAAATCCTAAACTCAGGCCAAGAATCAGCGTCCACGGGGGTTTAACATGTCCATCTCCTGCTTCTCCAGTGATTTTCTTCACTTTGAAAAAAGCTATGATTGAGATAGAAGTATTATCAATCCTAGTGTAGCTTAAAGGAAGAGCATATTTCCGACATAAGTCCCGTGACTCGTCAAAAAGTGCCACATCACAATCACAGTCCTCCAAGCAAGATTGAAGGCATTCTTCTTTCCCTAACATCTTTGCAAAGTAAGGGACATCTTTGAACCTGAGATCTTTCAGAGATGCAAAGTCGTAAATGTCACCGTATTCTTTCCCCGCAATGCACACTGCTCCAGTGGAGTTCCTCTGACAGCCACTAGGGAAATCTGCTACATTCTCGGTACCTGGTAGACATTTGCAAAGGGGTTGATTGTTGGACCTGGTGCAATAGGTGTTGACACCACAAGAACTGCTCACATCACACAAATCATCAATTGCTTGCCACAGCACAGTTGTAGATTTGTTGGTTGTATTCAGGGAATGAGAATACAAGACTAAATTTCCATCAAAACGAAGGTTTAATCGCAAGATTACATTGTCATGTTGCAAAGATGAATTGGAGCTGATTATAGACTTGTCCTTGTTACTGACTGCTGATAAATCCGTGTCATTAACCAGCACAAATGCGCCACTGCTATTGAGGTATAGGCTTCGCGGCGGGGTAGTCATGTCAGTGTCAGAATCCCAATAGGCACTTTCAACAGTGTCTCCTGCCTTGGCAGGATAAGCAACAAGATTTCCATCAGATTGCGCAATTAGACTGTATCTTCCAGTTGAGTGATTGGTTGGAGAAAGATTAGAATATAGTCGATGGTCATGGTGCAGAAATTGGTCCTCTAAGATGGTATCTGTAGGGAAGTCGAAACTCCGCCAGATAACTTGATCTTGTTCATTGTAAATAACAAGATTTCCAGAGTCTAGCATGGAGGGACACTTGGGTTGCTCATTCTGCTCGGGAGTAATAAACTTATTCTCATTCCCAGGGCTTGCCAACATGATCCTTCCACTGGTGAACTGGAGAATTGCATTTGATGATACTGCTGCATCATCTCTTTGGGCTGTCCAAACAATAGTATCATTTGAGTCATCCACTAACCAAATTCCAACTTTAAAACCTGATCCTTCTTTAAAGAATCCGAACGCAAATCGACTGGAAGGTGAGAGCCATATAGTTGACTGATCGGATGCTGAAATAGCGGAATACCGGCACACCACCTGCTGTTGAGCTCCGGCAAGATCTTTGGAAGCCAATGTCAAGAGTAGCAAGAAAAAAACTGTAAGAGAGCTCATTAGGGATTATTGGAATGTTATCAAAAGTTGCTTTAATAATAGCTCAGGATGCATTCAAGAAGAACATTCTGATTCTTGGGAAAAATTTTTCCAAATAATCTTCTATCAAAGCACACTCATTATTTGTATGGTGGAAAGAGGGGAAGAAACATAGCCAACCACGGAAGCATGGCCAACCACGGAAACGTGGCCAAGTTTAATAGAAACCGAGTCCGTTTGGATTATTAGTTTTTGGGGTTATTTTTTAAAAATAACACTGTAACATTTCGTTTTTGAAATACAAGTCCGTTTAGATTAGTCGTTTTTGAGATTATTTTTCAAAAACTATATGAAAAACTTTTACTGTAAATTTTTTTAGATTATTTTTAGAGATATTTTTAAAACATATTTTTTGAGTATTTTTATAATTTATAATTTTTATATTTATATACATTTATGCATTTATAATACATTTATAAATATTTATAAATAAATATATTTATATATTTATATAAAAATATATTATATAATACATAATATAAATATATTTATAAATGTATAAATTATAAATGAATATTATATAAATGTATAAATGTATAAATTATAAATTATAAATTATAATGTTTATATTTTTATATAAATAAACATTTATGCATTTATAATACATTTATAAATATTTGTAAATAAATATATTTATATAAAAATATATAAATGTATTATATTATATATAATACATAATATAAATATATTTATAAATGTATAAGTGTATATTATTATAAATGTATAAATTATAAATGAATATTATATAAATGTACAAATGAATATATTATAAATATATATTAATATTATGTATATTAATATAAATGTATAAATGTATTATAATATACATAATACATAATATAAATGTATATTATAAATATACATAAATATATATTATGTATAAATGTACATTTATATAAATGTATAATATATATAATATATAATATAATATATAATTTATATAATATATAATATTTATATAAATATATTATAAATATATAAAAATATATTTTAATTAAAATAAAATATTTATAATATGAATGAATAAATAAATACTTAATATATAAATATTTAATATATATAATTAATATTAATTATAAATATTATAATATTATAAATATGGTGTTTATATAATATTTCAATTTGTAATATTTATTGTATATTTCATTATATAAATATTTACATAATATATGAATATATAATATAAAATTTTTAATTTGTATAATATACATAATATTGTATATATATATAATATAATATACATAATATACATTATTACATTATTACATATTATGTATATTATATATTATACATAACATTATTATACACAATAATGTACATAATAATGAAAGTACATTAATAATGTATATATTATAATGTAATGTACATAATATATTATGTATACAATATTTATACATTTATGTATACAATATTACATATTATGTATATTATATTATGTATATTATATTATATTATGTATAATATATAATATTATGTATAATATTAATGTATATAAATATTTATATAATATATACATATATAATTTTTAATTTGTATATTTCAATTTATATTAAAATAATATATAATATATATATAATATACATAATTGAAATATACAAATTGAAATATACATATTAAATATGTATATTTGGAGTTGTTTTTGATATAATGTTTGGATATGGTGTTTTTGGAATTGTTTTTGAAATACACATTTACTGTAGCATTTAGAATGTGAAAAACTGTTTTTCAAAAACAGAGGCAAAAACAAGGAATCCAAACGGACCTGAGGAGTGTTTAGAATTGTAAACAGTAGTTGTCTACGTTTTGACTGAGCCATTGATGAAGTGCATTACAATTTTCCAGAGTAACAATTTTCTACAATAATAATGATGACAATCACTGAGGAAGTGCATTACAATTTTCCACAATAACGATGAAAACAATCAACGAGAAATCGTATTACTTCTTTCGTCCTAATTTGATAGTTTTGTTTCTTTTTTTGTCTGTCTCAAATTGTAATTCACTTTTCAATTGAAAAATATAGTTATCTTTTAATTTTCTTATTCAATGTGGGTTGTTACTAGTATAAATTACCTTTTTTAATATTAGATTCTTAACCTATTCTATTTAACACATTTAGATTATTCAAAACAGATTGGTATATGAAAAGCCAACTTCGTTATTCTTTCAAGTTTATTTATATTAGTAGGGAAACAAACGATGTCATCATTTTCTACAAATCATGAGCGAAAATTTAAAAATCCATCCATATTCTCACAATTAACCATACATATTCCATGACTAATTGATATAAAGTTGTACTCTATTTAATGTAATGATATTTTAGAAAAATGACAATCTAAACTTATTTTTCCAACAAAATTAACTACTTTTTCTGATAGAGCAATTATTGGGCACATTTTGTACTGTTATTTTGTCATAATTTTGGCTACTTACTGTGTTAAATATTGAGATTTTGCTAATATTTCATATTTGTATGAATTATAGGTGGTTGGTGTAAAAAGTGTTTTCACGACGCAAATATCCAGAAGATTCTCTATTTTATGGCATGCCCACGCCAGAAACTGAAGAGTTACACCTAAAAGCCGGACTCGCGAGATTGGTTGCAGCGCAAAGTGGACAATTAGGAGGTTGGGTCCACGTTGACCAGACACATGGGATTAAAATCCCAAAAAAGCAAAGCTTTGCAGGGACTCTTTGTGAATTGCTCTTGGCGGCTACAAAAGGCCAAAAACCAAAAGAAAGCCAGATTCACGTTTTAATTGATAAATTAGCTTTTAGCTTTTGCTTTTTAGGGTCAGACGTCTTCTTTTTCTTGGGACTTTCCGCACTAGCTTTAGACAATTGGGGGGTAGCTTTCGTTTGCAAACCCTGGAAGACGAATTGAAGTCTGCCGTCTTTGTTTCATTTATCTCAAACGCCTGTCGTGAGACAGGGGCTTTTACCTTTTGCTTTGGTACAAACACGAAACAAAGTGAAGCTAGAATTTTTTTTCGGGTCCGTTGTTATTCCGTCTCTCCCAGATTATTGGTAAATAATTGGATGATATCAATTAAATCACGGGAGAGTGATATGATGAGAAGCGGCTAATTTTCTCCTCTACCCAAAGGTCGACGCGAGGGCGCGGTCTATAACATCTGTGAGATCTAATCGAATTTTCATTATTTCTTTCAATTCATTACTATTTATGCGTTTCCTGGATTAATTGCTCATGGGTATTTTATTAATTGAATATCAACGGTCGGGTATTTAATTTAATTTAATAACCTACTGTCACATTAACTAAATTGAATCCGTAATTGTTCGTTTAGTTGATAACTAGTGACAACCACCATAATTGGCTTTATGTTGGGGGAATGCAAGATCTAATTTAAATAAACCCTCTTAGCGCGTTTATTGATTAGGGTTTGGTTCTTCTGTTTTAATGCAACTGAATAATTAAATTTCTATGGTCGTACCTAGGGTTGTTATTTGGTTAGAGAAGCAGTCAACGGTCGTACCTTAACTGTCGAAAAGGTAAGGAGGAATTGGTTGTCAGAGCTTGTTGATAACTATAACCAACCTAGTGACGAATGGATGAAATATCTGTGCATCAATGACCATTTAATTGGACCGTACCTGAGCAGTTGATCCTTTGGATAGAATTTTATTAATTGCTATTTCTAGTAGATTGCACTTGATAAGTTAGTTTTTGGATTTCGGTTATTTTGTTTTCATTTTCACCCTACTAAAAATCCTCCAATTTTGTTATATTGACTCAAAAGAAACGAATTATCTCCAATCTCTGTGGATTCGCCCCTACTCGCCGCTATATTCAAAATCGGTATTTCTCTTCAGTAGGTAATTATTATTGTACAGGTTCGGCACCTGTCAATTTTTGGCGCCGTTGCCGGGGATTGTTGCCTGATTAATTTGTTTCTTTTTGAGTTTATCTTATTTTTATTTTTTTATTTTTTTTATGGTTGCTGACATTTCGTATTTTGGTAATAGACTGAATTTTATTTCTACGAAAGGAAATGAGGCTTGTGTTTGTTCTGATGATCAATATTCAGATTCACTAAGCTTTCTTATAGACAAAATGGCTGCTGCAACTTGTGGGATTTGTTATGCCACAGATCATTCAACCAGTATGTGCTCTGAATATCAAGATTACCTGAATGCCTATCTCAATAAGTTTGAAAGTTTTTCACCCCAATCTCGAACGTGGCATGACCCTTATTCAAATGGGTATGATCAAAGATGGTGTGACAACTCCAATTTTAATTATGCACAAAAGCCAATCGATTTTCAACATCAATATCAACAGCAACATCCATCATCGATGTCAGAATTGCTCTCACAGACTAACATCGATCTTGAAGAGGATGAGAGTGCAATTATCCTGACAAATGATATGGTACTGCAAGAGTTTCAAGACGAAGAAACTAAAGATGCAGTTGAAAAGAAAGTTGAAGTGCAAGAATTGAGACCCCAACATCAACTGGTTCAAGTGGATGAATTCAGGGAACAACCTCCAAATGTGGTGACATTTCCTCCAATCCTTAATCAATATTTACCTAACTCTTATTCTTCAATTCCTATTAGTGAAATTGATTTTATTATACCAGAAGATTTTGGATTTCATGACAGGAATAAGTTAAGAGCCACGATGAAAAAATATTTCGAACTAATAAGTGTTCGTGATGGAGGAGTAAGTGAAGAACTAATATTCTTATCGACTTGTTTAGGGTCAGCTACTAATCCAGGGAAGACCATACCTCATGTGCTCAAGGATTACTCTATTTACGAGAGATATCAGAGATACATAGAAGATGAAGCATTGAGACGAGCCACACAATTTTATCCTCCGTGAATAAACATGATGATATCTAGCCAAAGACATTAAAGAAAGGCACTGCTTGGGAAGCAACCCAAGGCTTCTTTTGTTTTAGTTTTCTTATATGTTTGAAGTTTTTGTTAAGTGTTAGTGTCATTTAGTGGGTTGTTATTTTGTGGCAGAAAACTGGCAGTTAGACATGCCCACGCTAGGTCGTCACACCTAAAGAATGAAGTTTTGGAATTGACGGTCAGAAGACTATAACTTCTAAGGCGTGCCCACGCCTTCCAACC